TCCAGATTGGCCTGTAGATACGGATGTTGGAAGGGGATCAGAGCTTCCTTGTTCAAATTTGAAAAGCAAGAGATACTGACCACAAAAGAGAATGACAGATACCCTAGAAGAAAATCCGACACCATTAATCTCATACTATCTGCTTCTTCTGAGGCAGACACACAGACAAGAGTTTGAAAGACAAGCAAAACAGACACCTAAAACAAATATTTCACTCCAGTAGATAGCCCAAGGACTATGAAACAAAGTAGCATAGACATCGACCCATCCACATAACAAAGAAACCATACTTAATCTTAATTCTACAGTTAACATCCCAACAAATAATGGCACTTACGTATAATTTAACTCATGAAAAATAGAATGATACCTCCAGAGAAGGAATTTCGGTGGAAGATAATAAGATCTTCTAGCACACTGTTGTAGTGGAACAGGAAAGCAACACAAAATCGGATAGTTATTAGATTTATAGGTAGGCAAAAGGAAGGCAAATTTATAGGTAGAATGGCTACTCTTACGAGTTGAGATGACTTAGAACCGGAAACTTTAGAATCTGCTTCAGCGTCGATGCAGCATGTAACTAGCTTTGAGACCAAAAACTAAAAAAAAAAGCAGCAGATAGAGAAAAGTAAACAACTTTTTTACTACAACACTGGTCTTGCCTTTGAACGAAATAGCATTAGTAACACATACCTAACCATTTCTTTGGCAGGATTGCGTTTGAACGAATCCAGCAAACATGAAGCTATACTACAACACTGGTCTTGTAATGAGGGAGAGCCGATAAATTGCCCAACAAAATAAGTTGTCTAATCCAAGAAATTTTAAATACACAGTCAAATTTTAAATACACCTAAGTAACTTGTGAACCAAGAACAACTTAGAGAGAGCTTTCGATCAAATGTTACAAAAAAACAATACCTGGCCATGTATGCTTCTCATCTCACCACCCTCATAGCCATCGAGTTTTTGCTTGACAGGCATCATCAAAGCACGTGCAACATCCTTGTTCCCCTCGGATTCCTCTTGTAATCCTTCCAAGTCCATGCCATCATAATCTTCAGTTTCTTGGATCAAAGACCTGTGTCAGAAACTAGACAACATCTTCAAAAAGATAAAATATCCTAATATTGACAGGACAAGACAATGAAGAGGAACTCAAAATTATTTGCACCATTATTGCGTCAAGAAATAGTTTTAAAGAGAGAGCATTAAAATGGCATTTATATAACAACAGACAAATCTACGTTCTGGCCATCACTACATGCAAGTATCCCTCGCAAAAGTCCACTTTATAACTTTTGCGCTCCTGTGATACCCATTCCATCAATTATGTCTCTAATAACCCTGAAAGAGACCTGTCCAATCGGGAAGAAGCTGAACAAATGAGAATCGTACAGATCCAATTAAATATTTAAAGAGAGCAGATGGAAGGAAACATACCCGTTCAGGAGTCTTGAGCACTAAACCTTGTTTAAAGGCAACTCCAAAATCTATGTGGACAACTTCTGCCGTGTCTTGATCAATTAAAATATTCATCGCATGATGGTCACCAAGACTAACGATGTACCCAACCTGATAGCAAACCAAATGCCAAATGTTCAAACGGAGATGATTCAGAGAGAAAAATAAGAACATCAATTCAAGGTGCCTCGACTAAGAATACAAACCATGTTCTCTTGTATTAATACCATTCATCACTCTGCATATCCAAAAGACGTAATTTCAGATAAGGTTCTCTTTTAAACTAGGAATGTAAGGAAACTGTTATATTGATTGAGCAGGGACTTACCTAATAGAATCTGATAAACCTTTGAAACAAGGGAACGACCCTTCATTGTATTGGAAGCTACGATCAACAGGAATTGTAGCGGTCACTACAGGTACCTACCGCAAACAAAAGATAAAAACAAGAAAAGTTTGACAGATACAATAGAACCAAGAAGGAAAATGGGAAAAATTCTTGCAAGCTCATGCAACGAAACATATCTTCCAATCAAATAGACAACGTGAAAACTACACCGCCACAATAATTTCAGCGAAGAATTGACCTTGTTAGGAATTTCAACATACTCAAAACAGCAAACAAATGAAAAATTAGGATCAGACCAACACATAGGACAACATTTGCGGTTTGCTAAACACTTATTAAAATCAATGGCTGCCACTAAATTTTCATTTGTATGTATAGGAGTAGCCTATCACAATGACCCACAGAAGGTCTCTTAATCTTCAAGAAATTTCCTATCTTGGTGTCAAAATTTAAAGTCTGAAATTCCATACATGGTGCAGTGACATGGTGTCCTACAAGCTAATAGTTATGCTTACAAGCTCGATAAGAATGAAAGTCTCAATTAAAAATGGTGTGCTTACAAGTTCCAATTGTTTCACGCTACGAATTTCTCTTGGTAGTGCTACCCTCTTATTGGTATCCTGCAAAGGAAAGAGTTCTGCAAATATTATTTGGGTTCAGCATACAGCATAACAAAATACTTCCTCTACTCTCAAAGAATTATAAGACCTCTTTCTCTCTCCTCGTTTCAAGCTCTGCAAGCTTGATGTAGATATCTACCAACTGTTTCATCTGAAAAAGAAAATCAGGATTTGCTGACAAGTAACGAGGCAAAGTGGAATATGATGCATAAGGTTAGATGATAATAAGGAGTACTTGTCTAATCATAGGCCCATGATAATGTGATATATCCTGCAAGAGATGCTCTGCTGCAAGCTTTTTATCCATATCAACCACAAAAGAGTTTCTACTGCGTTGCTTATCCTTGATTCGGTCACCGTTTGCCAAAGCCAGAAGCTAGAACCAAAATAATAAAGAAAAAGTATACAAGAAATTTATCCAGCCTTTAGAAACTCAACTTTAAAAGAGATAGGCAAAGTCACTTGCGAATAATGTAACATGTTCTTCAGAACCTGAAAGATTAGTATGGTATGGATGATCAATGGCCATTTTTCTGACAAGTTAAAACAGAGCAGACTGAAGCGTAAGGATATAACAAAAAGCCTCCTTCTTCTGGCTATGTTGACCCCTGCTTTTCTCGCACAACCATGCTTCCACCCTTTCTATGTATAGCAGCACCAAACCTTGCAGAAAACATTACATTTAATAAATATCCAACACCAGCATACACTATCTATGACAAGACTAGCCAATTAGAGTATTTAGATTTGTAGAAAACTCACAGGAATATTTACGATTCCTCATTTGGAAACAGTACTACCTAATTTCCAAAAGATGGCGGAGTATGGTCCCGTACTCTGACTGAAAGCTAGGTGCATTTCTCAAAATATCATGTACATGTGTAAAGAGAGTTTAGCCATAGATAACAAAGGATATAGCACACCTGAGACATTAGAACAGACTAGTTACATAAGCACTNAACAAGATGAACTCTTGCTAATAAGAGAAAATGCATCATCAAAGTGTAAGCATTAAGATACAATTCTGTGAGAAAATAACTAACATACAGAACACACATGCGCACGGGCATATTAATAAAATCAACACCTAACGTATTCCAGCTCCATAAACCCCCTTTCCATCACTGTTCACAATCTCCCAGATTCTTCTAAGATTATCATTCAGCAATTTTCTAATTTTAGTGATTACAAGAAGCATTCAAAATCAGATAACAAAAAAACTTGATATTTCTGCTCTTTGAATGACAACGTGAAGAGTCTTTGCACATGCACAAAGTAATAAAGGAGAATTTCAAAAGGATATTACTATATTTCTCACCAGGAAACTTGGTTATCTTCTGCTCTCTGAAGCTAAGCTTTACAAGCCAAAAATATTAACAACCCCCAGTTCATTGGTAAATGTCTCGAAGATAATGTAATAGTCTCCGAGTCAATTAAAATAAGCGCAGCATTTCGAATAAAGAGCATATAGAAAAAAGCAAGCCAGGAAAGGTTTCTACAAAAAAAAAGTCTTCGACCGAATTAGAGCATATCAGATTAGAACAAATGTCTCTGCAACACACAGCTACGCGAAAAAAGAAAGATCAAGAAAATATCCAAATGATAAGCCGTTAAATGTTCTCATTCCCAATTTCATTTTCTACGTCCAAACAAGACGTCTAGTTCACTAAATTCGTTCCACCAAAATCAAATATAATCGAGAAGTCTAACCTCGGTAGCAAGGCAAAGTTGAGGGCATTTGCTTTCACCACACCTTCCACTACAAGGCATATATCCAGCACAACAAGTATACGTACACAAAAACAGATGGACACGCAACACATCTAAGTAAAGGAAGAAGAAACATTCTTAGCCTTAGATCTAGTAGAAATCGTGCATACCTTGACATGTCATTGTATAGTGCTCTTTTACGAAGTAAATTAAAACCATATCCATAAGACCATTCATCGTCCCCATATACCTAGACAACAAATTCATAAGAGAAGCCAGTCAATTAGTCTTCCCTGCGAATAAATATTCATGTAAAAGGCAAAACCATGAACAAGGATAATCAAAATGTTATACACATGTACAGGCCTAAGACACAGGACCATTAACAGTTACATGGAAGCCTAAAGCCTAAAATACATACATACACAACAACGACAAAGCAAATCCACTCATGCACACATAACGAATCAAAGAAGACGTGATAGAAATCGGACCAGAGACGAAGATCGAGTACCTGAAGAGCGCTGTGGAATACCCCTCCTATACCGATCCCGTCTTTGAAGAACCTGTTGATCTGAAGAATTGTGTTGTTAGTCTTCTCCGATCCACCTCCGCCATGATTCCCTCGCTACTAACAATACCCAAACCCTGATTTCCAACCAAAAAGAAGAAATTACTACAAGATCTCGACTGTACAGAAGAAATTAATCTTTCCCCGATTTTTATTTTTTTTCAATCTCAGATGTGGGAGATGAAGAAGAAAACTGATGCGGTGCCTTATAATTTGCCCCAATAGAGCCGTTTTTTTCCTTCCTTTTTTGGGTCAAACCCCAATCGAGCCGTTATAAATTATAATATGGGATAATTTGGAAAATACCCTATTTATATTTAAATTTTTGAAAAATACAATATTTTTTTTTAAATTAACTCTTTTCATGAGTGCTAAGACTCTTTTGCCCTTATTTGATTAAAACTATAATTTCTGATGAATTAAAATTAATTCGAAATTTTAATATTTTACTTGTTTTAGATAAATATGTATTATTAATTAAATTTATTATAATGTTTCAAAAATTATCTTAAAAAAACAGTAGATTTACGGGCCTTATATATAAAACATATTCACCATTTTGTAAAAAAAGCCAAATAAACATGGGGCAATTGTAAAAATGTCATTTTTAGTGTGTACATTTGTAAGAATGCCACTTAGGGGTCTATTTGTAAAAATATCACTAATTATGATTTTTTAAAACCTAAATTTTAAAATTATAAACCCTAAAAAATATTTTGACCCCTAAAACCCCTCTAACCCTCAAAACTAAACCCTAATACAACATAATTAACCCAAACATAAATGATATAACAATTTTTTTTTGAAAAAATGGTATTTTTGCGAAGATTTTGAAAAGGTGGCATTTTTGAAAAGTAGTATTTTTTGAAATTTCTCAATAAAATCCAACAAAACCTACATTATTTATTTTCAAATCAATCATATTTGTTAATTTGATTGGTTTAAGTTAACAAATAAATTTGGCATAATTTCTATTATCCTACTAAAAAAATTTGTTGGTTTTAGATCATTGGTTCAATTAAACATAAAGATGAAAAGCACTTCATAGCATCAAAACTTTAGATAA